GATGTATTGGCAGTGTTCGCAATCAGAACAGGAAAAGAAAATTTTCTTAGGGTAGTATTCATGAAACGGCACATAACTTACCAACCATTTGCTACTGGGACAAGTGTTGGAAGATTTACTGAATTTGTAAAGTCTACCCAACAGCCAGATTTTCCAGCACATTTGCCAGATTAGGACTCTTCTTGACATTCACCAGTAATCAAGGTCTCAGGATATTTACCATATTTATAATATGACCAATATCACGTTCAATGGATCTGAACTCTTTCAAAGATTTTTCTTTTTCAAATGGCAAACCATTAACTTTATCACTAATTCAGATCAGATTCCTTTCATTCCACCCAACCAGTGAATGTCAAGCAAAAAAATTAAATCTAGGCACATGACTATTTTGTTTTAAATATTTATGCCCCAAGATCTTATTTAGTAGGGTATGTGGAGCAAGATCTATTTTTGTTGCTATAAGCAGCAAATCATATCATTTTAGTTTTCCCAGTGCAGAATTGTAAATAGTGAGAATAAAATAAATAACAATCCTTCACTTAGATACTTTGATCAAATAAGGCCTGGCAAAGAAAGCTGGTCAGCTGGTAGTGAGCTTAATATAGAAAATTTATGATAACCTGAGAAATAAACCTTTTGTAAAGGAAATAATTGGTAGGGGTATCTCATATAAGTAAAGTAACAATTAATGGTAACAGTAAGTTAAGAGATGTGTTTTGTGTTTCTAGAGGAACTCCAGAGACATGACTGTAAAGTCAAGTTTAGCCATTCATTATTGCTTAACCTACCAGGTGTTCAAGCTCACCATTTCAGAACTCTTTTCAAAATCTTAAAGGATATGTTCATTAACAAAATAAATAAATAAATAAATACATAAATAAATAAATAAATGCACATTTTTCTTGCAGTTTTTTTCTTAGGAGCCTGTAAAGCACTGCACACGGAATCAGCAGACGGCAGGTGCAATGTCAGGCTCCTGCAGAATGTTTAGTACAGCAGCCTGACCGTACCTCTCATATAGGCTGGCAGTTACTGAAGTCCAGGAAGACCAATGAACAATGCCCCCACAGTTCATTGAGAACTACAAGCCATCTGCTGCAATGGCTGACAGTACTTGTAGTTCATTCACTCACAGAAATCTGAATGAATGACGGAGCTGTGTGGGTGGGTGGAGCCCCACACTGCCACCCTGTTTCTGAATTGTGACAGCGGGTACAGGGAGAGGATCCCCTGCCTGCTTTCAAAATGGGGGATTGGATTGAGGTGTGAGCAGATGCTTTAGTAACATGTTACTATAGGTAAACGTATTCTTTACTCTACTCGAATTACCTCCTTGTATGGATTGACTTATCTTAATCATCCCTTGCTAGCATGTGTACATTTATGTCATCCCTCTAACTGTGTGTATCCCATTGTTCTCATGTAACCTAAACTATATATTCAGAACCAGTTAATGCATGGTCCACAATGAATTAAAACGGTCAACTGGTATTCTGAATGCACTTATGTGGTCAGAAGCACCCTCTGAACTTGGTTGAAGTACCCCTAGGATACACACGTTATGAATGGAAAAATATGGTCCAATTAAACATTCAGATCTGCTGGTGTGTGACCAACCTAATACAGCCTACTTTAACTTAAATAATGGATCAAACATGGCATGCTATAAATGTATGGATTTTTATGGTGTGTCCAATATTGGAATTCTGAATACGGTCTTGTAAATAACACAGGATGTACAGGATAGACATTTACAACAGACTACAGACCTGAATTCTGAAGACTAATTTGGGGCAGAATAGTAATGCTGTCAACCTTGAGAGATTCTTGATGTAAAGAAACCTGCAGGGATGTGCAGATATAATCAGGTATAACTAGACAAGCCAAAGAAGAAATCTGACTCCTGGATAATGCCTTTTGGAATTGTTGGGGTGTAAGAAAACAGAGGCAAATATAGAGTTGAATGGTTCTGATTTTTGCTGGAAGAAATTGAAGTGATACTTCTTTCAAATGTATTTCATGGTAAGACAGCCTCCTACATCTACCAAATCTCCAGTAAAAAGGGGTGTGGCTTCACTTTGCCACATGTTTGCTATATTATTTATATGCTGGCCAACATTTGCAAGTACTACTACCCTTGGCTGTAGAGGTGGATCCCTGTGGAAATACTGACATGAATGATATGCTCTGCAATACGTTATGTAAGGGAACTGACCAAATACTGTTAACAAGCATAAAAAGCTGGTCATATACTGCTCGAATTTGGGAAATATGCCCTTTTGGCACCACCCAGCTCATCAAATGTCAGTTTTTCAATCAACATATGTGGAAGGAGCTGGGTGGAAAACTGACAGATAAGCATGGACTGCATCCAATCAAATACAGTCACTGTTCAGGTATTCAGGAGCCCCGGAGCCCCAGACACCCCCCACCCGCTGCTAAAAACATTAACCAGCACAAAAGAAGGGGGGAATCTAAAGGTGTAAGGATAGCTTAAGCCTTGCAGAAGGCACCTTGTGGTGCTTACCAGTTCCTCTAATAAACAAAAAAGCCTCTTGCTTCACGAGTCAACCCACAGTCCCAAGTGCATAGTTTGCAATGGCTTCAACGTCACCTTCTTCTCATTGTTGAAACCACACCCCACAGTCTAACAAACCAAGGAGAGTGCCTTTATTGTTAGCTTAGGTGTCCTCATTTGTTTGTAGGAGGGCACGATGTAGTTTACACCACTTTGGTGGTGAAATGTTAGCCTTTGTAAACAATTGACACAGAATCATGGAACTACCCTGGGCACAAATAAGGTCTCTCTGTATAATAGGTTTACTAATATAATTATTTATACATGTCAACTCTATCTGGTCCACTTTAATATTTGCATCAAGCCTACTTTATTTTGTTTAGGACTGTGTAACAAAAAATCTTTAAAGGTGTGTTATTTTTTTTTGGACCCATTTATAAGCAAATACAAATGTAATGGTCAGACAGGTATGTTGCAGCACTATCAATGCTATAAGCAAGACACCAAACGTTCTCTTCTTTTATGGAATGCTCCAGTTATTAATGTAATTGGATGCATTTTCAAACACTCAACAAGGCAAAAATCTAACCTATGAGTACCAAAAGCAAACCCAACAAAAATATGAATCTGGTTGAGTGTAATATGGACACCTTAATCCTCATCCCCTGTATGTCTGTCTCAGTTTTTACAGGGCATTTCCACAAGAACAAGGAGAAATTATCCAGAAGGTGAAAATAGGTGCACACACAAGATACACTATTTCACCCTCAATTTTCAACTAAATTATCAGATATGGATGGAATTATTGTTAATTATCTTCAAAAGTACCCCCATAGAATAAAAATGCTCCTCAGCAAGATGTGAAGCATTAGGCATTTCAGTTGTTTTTGAATTGCACCTCCCATGATGCTGAGCTATCTGTTTTGTACTACAATTACCCATCCTGTCTAAAGGACACAATATATTACAATTTGTTCTGAATTAGAAAAAAAAAAACATACGAAAAATAATTTTGTTCTGTATTCCCAGTTCCCATCAAGAAAATAATCCCCATTATTCCATCTGAAAACATTCTGCACACAGAAAAAAAGGTCACTTGGAAAATCTGTTTCAAATCTATGATGTAAAGATGAATCACCTTAACACTAAATCCCTGTCATGCCTTTAGCTTCACAGAGAGTAACAAGTTGCAAATCGATTCACCCTAAAACCATGAGCACAAAGTTCTGTTTTCTTTCATATACAGAATAATTATCATGAGAAAGCATATAGGAAAAAAAACAAAAGGAAGATTTCACAACCATTAAGTTTGAATAGAAGTGTCATTGCAGATTATAAAAAAAATTTAATAACATTTAATGCAAATAGATGCATGTGTTTTTACCAGCTGGATAAACTCCCAGTGATGTAACTGACAGGAGGAGTGTAGACTGCTACAGTGACATCATTGGGAGCTGCTCCAGTCATTATAAATAAGGGTGGTGAGGTTTTAACTACTGGAGCACAATGTGCTCAAATAACCTCTTATTTCATTACAGCAGGTGTTTAGAAATTAAAAGCACAACCCACATGCACAGTTCATATACATTTAACTCTCCCACTGGCTCAAGACAGTTGCTAAGGTAATACTATGGCTTTTGCAGTCAGCAGTAACAATCAGAGCATACCAAATCCATTTTGATTACAACCTTTGAATCTTTATTGCATTTTAACACCTCTATTCAAACAGAGCATAAAAGCCAACTCTTGTGTGTGCCACAAAGTGGAGCTCAAGAGTGGCGGAATACCATTATAGTACTGCAGTGCAAACTCTGTGCTGATTTATACCACAGTAGATATCTGGAATGAGTTCCATATTCAGTAGATTACAGATTATCCAGTTTTATAATAAAAGGTGGATAGATTATACAATGGCCTTACAGTAGTAATTCAAGTTACACTGACATAATAATAAGACCCAACCTTAATGAACCTTTTCTTCAAAACAAAGGAAAGTACAGTTTACTTGGTTGCATCACTAAACTGTCTTGTATGAAGCATTGAAACAACCTGCCTTGAAAAACAAACACAATAAGCCAAATACATCTCTCAGTCTTCAGCACAGGGAGCTTCCACAGAACGTACAGACACAAAACAGCACAGCTCCCGAATCCTCGCCTTACCGACCCTGTCTACAGGGGGTAGATTGCTATGGCATGTACTGCCAAATCTCACAAGTCCTCCCCCACCCAAAATCTCCAAAAGGACAAATAAAGAGCAAGTAACAGCAGCTGGATGAGTCAGAAGAAACACAGCACCCGATAAAAACACCCCAAACCAAAACGGCAAAGTAAGCGAGTGTGGGACCAGAAGGGGTGGGTTGGTCTGTGTCAGAAGCCAAACCCATCCTGCTCTGGCTGAGGAGGGAATTTTGGATGGAAGGGATTGGGGAGAAAGAGTCAGGCGCACACTGGGGAGGCAGAGGTAGGGATGGGAGTCGTTACTTCTTGTTCTTTAGTTGGTTGGCTAGCCAGTCCAGCCCCTCGTAGAGACCATCTCCACTGGTGGCACAAGTGGACTGGATGTACCAGTTGCGGTGACGCAGAGAATGAAGGCCCAGCTTGTCTGTGATCTCAGCAGCATTCATTGCATTGGGAAGGTCCTGCACAAAAATTTTAAAGGAAGAAATTAGGTGTAGGCTTCAAAATGCTTTGCGTTTCATCCAAGATGTAAACTCCAGGATCTGATACACACTGCTAGTAAAGCAGGCCCCTAGATGTACAAGAAGATGATTTATCAGTTGTTACAATATCACAGAATCAGAGATTTTGGTGCACGTCACATAAATAATACACTTATTTTAATGTGAAGGTATACACACTTTTATGGCCTTATCTTCAGGTCAGAGAAAAAAAATAATGCAGAATTTTTAAATGATAATGTAACTGTCAAAGCCCTGCAATTTTCCTTAGCATGACTTGCAAAACTAACAAGTGATTCTTTTTTTTTTTCTATGGGAGTCCAGAGCTGGTAGTTTAACAGTACAAAACTGTGGCTCCCATAAGTTTTGACAAACAAATGCATACCTCACATTGAAGCACCCCTCAACACTACTGTAACCCTCCCTTATCTAAACATTTAATTTTCCTCTAAAATAATGACTTGGTACTAGTCTCCAGTCCCACAATTAACCTATAACTTATAGCTAAACACTTAAACCTTAAATTGTGGTCACAAAACTTTATCACTTAACCTAAGCCCTAGAATGTGTCCTTAACACCTAACCACCCCTAAACTGATCCTTAACGAGGATCCCAACTGTGGAAGCTGTATCAAAAAAAGCATTAGTCAACATTGCCTGTGGTCTCTCTGTAGCCAATCTTTTCCCCATGTTGACTTACAATGCCTTCCATGTTCTGCATGGTGTGTGTGGAGGCGGCCATCTTAGTAGATTCAGTTTAATAAAATGGTTTTGCACTATGTTGGATTCCTCCCTTTTTCCCTATTTAATGAATTATTGAAGCCTGTCCTGTTATCCTGAGAGCTGATGCCTAGATTGAGCAATGGATATCTATAACTGTTTTATAACTTTTATTTATGACCTACATATTAGTTTAAAGTGGTTGATTTGGATCTGTAAGTTTACAGTACCTTGGTTTTCAAAATGTTTAACAAATAAATATCTGAAAAGTGTGGCGTGCATCTGTATTCAGCCCCCCCCGAGTCAATACTTTGTAGAACCACCTTTGGCTGCAATTTCAGCTGCAAGTCTTTTTGGGTATGTCTTTACCAGCTTTGCACATCTAGAGGGTAAACATTTTGCCTATTCTTCTATGCAAAATAGCTCCAGCTCTGTCAGATTGGATGGAGAGCATCTGTGAACAGAAAGTTTCAAGTCGTGCCACAGATTCTCAATTGGATTTAGGTCTGGACTTTGACTGGGCCATTCTAACACATGGATATGCTTTGATCTAAGCCATTCCATTGTAGCTCTGGCTGTATGTTTAGGGTCGTTGTCCTGCTGGAAGGTGAACCTCCGCCCCAGTCTCAAGTCTTTTGCAGACTCTAACAGTTTTTCTTCTAAGATTGCCCTGTATTTTGGCTTCATCCATCTTCCCATCATCTCTGGCCAGCTTCCCTATCCCTGCCGAAGAAAAGAATCCCCACAACATGATACTGCCACCACTATGTTTCACTGTGGGGATGGTGTGTTCAGGGTGATGTGCAGTGGTAATTTTCCGCCACACAACATATTGCTTTTAGGCCAAAATTTTTGGTATCATCTGACCAGAGCGCCCTCTTCCACACGTTTGCTGTGTCCCCACATGGCTTCTCGCAAACTGAAAACAGAACTTTTTATGGCTTTCTTTCAACAATGGCTTCCTTCTTGCCACTCTTCCATAAAGGCCAGATCTGTGGAGTGCATGACTAATAGTTGTCCTGTGGAGAGATTCTCCCATCTGAGCTGTGGATCTCTGCAGCTCCTCCAGAGTTACCATTGGCCAGTTGGCTGCTTCTCTGATTAATGCGCTCCTTGCCCGGCCTGTTGGTTTAGGTAGACGGCCATGTCTTAATAGGTTTACAGTTGTGCCATACTCCTTTAAATTTTTGGATGATGGATTGAACAGTGCTCCATGAGATGTTCAAAGCTTGGGATTTTTTTTTTATAACCTAACCCTGCTTTAAACTTCTCCACAACTTTATCCCTGACCTGTCTGGTGTGTTCGTTGGCCTTCATGATGCTGCTTGTTCACTAATGTTCTCTAACAAACCTCCGAGGGCTTCACAGAACAGCTGTATTTATACTGAGATTAAATTACAAACAGCGAACTCTATTTACTAATTAGGTGACTTCTGAAGGCAATTAGTTTCACTGGATTTTAGTTAGGGGCATGAGAGTAAGGGGGAGTGAATACAAATACACGCCACACAGATATTTGTAAAAAGTTTTTAAAACCATTTATCATTTTCCTTCCACTTCACAATTATGTGCCACTTTATACTGGTCGATCACACAAAATCCCAATAAAATACATTTACGTTTTTGGTTGTAACATGACAAAATGTGCAAAATTTCAAGGGTTATGAATACTTTTTCAAGGCACTGTATTTCTTTTGGGGGACAAATATGGTGGTAGAGGACTGGACATCTTTTTTTTGCTGCTTAATTTCTGTAGAAATATCTGGTGATCCTGCCAGTTGCCCTTGTGCCCTTGTTCATTCTTACCATGCCAAGAATGGAAGCAGAACTGTGCTGGTGTGGTCAGTTTGCATCATTATGCTTCTTATATTGAGGTGCAGGATGCTGTGCATATGTACTTACTGTAGTCAGTTCATCTGTCACACCCTCCCAAACAGCTGTTCTTCCTTTGTGTGTATCATCCATTCTAGAGGTTTCCCTTTTGTGCTCCACACTGGTAGTGGCTACAGCTGTGACTGGCTAAAGGACAGTCGGTCTTTATTCCAGCATCCTGATTGGATGAAAGAAAAGGAGCAACTCCAGCTAGTACTAGTATGGACGGCAGAAATGAAACCTCTGGAATTCATGATACACATACAAGGAAGAACTATGTGATATTATTACATGCCTGGAAGCTGAATAATCATACAAGCCCACTGCTATACAGAATGGAAGGATTTGAGGTCATGTGTGCTTTTGGTGTTGTACTTTCTCATATATGTTAAAGCTTAAAGAGGGCCATAGACAAATTTAGCAGGGACAGGCTGGATTTTGATCATTATGTAGCTGACGCTGCTTAACAGAAATCGTTTGATCAACTTATGTCAAAAGGGACACGTTGGAAAACATTTGTCGATCAGCGGCTCATCAGTGTATTCTGAAAGCAGCGAGTCGGCTGAAATGATAAAGAAAACTACCCATCTCGGTTTAGATAAAATAAAAATAAAAAAAATCAGCACAAAAGACGATACTTACATTATTGAGAATTGTCCCTTGTGCTGGTTGAAATGTACTTTCTGACTATAGTAAGTACATAGTATTACTACGTACATAGTAAGTACATTTCAACCAGCACAAGGGACAATTCTTAATAAATGTAAGTATCGTTCCTTTGTGCTAATTTTTTTTTTTTTTTTTCCGAAGTCCCCCCCCGATGCTACAGGTGTTATAATAGCTGAGGTGCTGTAATTTATCAGATTAAGAACTCATGTCAGAGCATCCAGCAGAGAGAACAGTGAGCAGATCATTAGTGACGTCACAAAAACTCACACCAAATCTCCTGAGACCAGTAGTCAGAGGCAGCAGTGCCATAGCTCTCACTGCAGATATACAGTTATGAGGCTGTAGTCATAGGAATGCTTAGGCACAGTCCTCCAACAAATGAATTGCTATTTTAGGAGGAGTTCAAGACAAAAAGGCACTGACAGGGGTACTTACAATGGACAGCTTTTATTTATGTAAAGCCTTTACCCAAAAAAAAAAAAAAAGTGGCTTGTGTAACTGTTTAAAAAAGTGTTTGCTGGAAGTTGGTTTATTAGTTACTTATGTAAAGTCCCATCTAATTCTACTAGACCAGGGGTAGGCAACCTGCGGCTCTCTAGCTGTTGTGGAACTGCATTTCCCATGAGGCATTGCAACATTACAAAACTAACAGATACAGCTATGACTTGCAGAGGAATGATGGAACTTGTAGTCCTGCAACAGCTGGAGAGCCGGAGGTTGCCTACCCCTGTACTAGACCATCTAACTCTACCCTCTCCAGACAGTGCGGCTGTCCATTGTTCCTGTATGGATAGAGGAGCCACCCTCAGAGATGAAGTGTCTTACTGGCAAGATTACCAGGTAAAAATGAAAACTAAAAAAAAAAAAAACCCTGAATGTAGCCAGCAGAATAAATGATTGCTAAGTTGCAACATCACATTAAATCTTTGTTTTTGGGTTTAATACCACTTTAACCTCTAAAGTATCATCAGGGCTGGACAACATACTGCAGATGTGGATGCATGGTGGTTCTATGCTGGGCTGGCCAATATACACTATCTCAAGAAATTACCATGGTCTACTATCTGTGTATGCTCAGATATTGACAAATACTATATTGAAACTCTGAGCACACAAATAATATAGCAAATGCAGTTGCACATACTCTTTTCTATTGTCAGTTTTGCCCAACTATGGGCTTGCAAGTAAATAAAAGGTAAAATGATCCTTGATTAAAAGAAAAACTCAAACATTATTACATTAACCCCTTCATGTGTACCCCCAAAGTCCTTATCAAGATGGGGCGTACTTTCCAATAACATGACCACTATGATTTGCCACCACAGTGGACAAAGGTTTGGGTGTCCTTCCTGCAGGCTCTTGATCAAAATTAGACAGGGAGCTGGACAATCGGCCACCGCGCACACTCAGCAAAGAAACTTCAGCTACCCTGACCGCATATGTATGGCGTGTGGGTGTTAAGTTATGTGATCCTCAAGAGGTTAAAATGTTATTTAAAAAATAATATAAACAATTCAATTAAAACAAAACCAGTGGAGTCTCTGTGCTCATGACATTTAAATTGTTGCTGAATGTGGTCTCTTCTCCTCAGCATGTCAAAAATTAGCAGATCTGAACCTGCAAAAAATAAGCTACAGTCCCACAGTACAGCAGGAGCTTCCATAGGTCTGTGGTGGACGAGATAGTCACAGACAAAACAACTTGATGGTGTCAGGTCTGGACATCATGTTAGTTCATCTCCTACTGGCTAAATGTAGTGATTTACTAACTAAATGTCATGCCTTTCAGTTAGACCAGAGTTCTTTGACTTTGTTCTTTTACAGACAAATATATCTACTTGACAAAACATGTGTATACAGTTTAAAAAGCAGTGCAATTTGTTAAGGTTCAATGCACACAGGCTTTACTTCAGAAACCTTAGAATGCTATTGTGGGATATTGGTAGCATGCTTCCTAGAGCTAATGTATTTAATTACTAAATAAACTAACCTGTTTATTTGCAAACACGAGCAGAACAGCATCCCGAAGCTCATCCTCTGCCAGCATTCTCATCAACTCTTCACGTGCCTCATTTACTCTTTCTCGGTCATTACTGTCCACCACAAATATTAGGCCTGATAAAACAGAAAGACACAAATCATTATGTTCTACTGTTCTTCTACCATTGGTAATCCCATCACTTTTTAAATCATTACTACATTAGTCTAACTTCTATAGCAAGTACAAAGTTAAACTGGCTTATTTATTAAAGCTAGAGGAAAAAATGTTTAGATTGTAATTTTTCGAGTACTACTTTGATTATGAAAAAAAAATAGTGATTAGCAGAATTACAAACACTTTTTATTTATAAAGAGGTATGGCAAGAAACAATATAATTAGCATTTACATTTAGAGACCATCCTTACTTCAGCCTTGGAGGGTGATGCATTATTCTTTAATCTTGGATAAGGAAATATGCTTTTAAGAATTCTGTTTCCTGGGGACCATGAAGGCACCTGGCTCCTTATAGGCCAGTTCACACCACATGCAATGCAGTGCTTTTTTTCCTGGATCAAAATCGCATTGAAAGTATGTTACATGGGTTCCAATGGCATAGTTCAGATCAGTGCAGTCAGTTCCAGAAAAAAGTACATGCTGCTTTTTTTCCTGCACAGAACTGTACTGTAATGCATCAAAAAAGAATAAAGCACCAGACCTCACTACAGTGCCAAGAAAAGGATGAAAAAAATATTTTAACTCCTCCCATGATCCTCTTCTGGTCACATGCACATCTGGACAAGATGGAGCACAGAAGGCTGTATCTGGACACTGATAGGCTCCATCAACAGGGGATGTAACCAATAACGCCTTTACTAGCAGACATGCAGTCTCACAGTGCAATAGCCATAACCATGAATAAGCCTACCAGTGCAGACATCTTCTCTACACAGCAGCACACAGCACAGGAAGGACATTTCCAGGGGACAAATAGGAAGTGATCTGACCTGGGGGAAATGGTCTTAATGAAAATAAAGAATTTGCAATTGAAATGACCCAAAAAAGGAGTAAAAAAAGCATCAGGAATGCATCCGGAAACGCATGAAAAACAGGAGTTAAAAAAACGCATGCAGAAATGCATCCTGAACGGATCTCGAGGATGTTTTTGTGGTGTGAACTGGCCTTAATGCTGCAATCAGCTGATGTCCACGCAGAAGCTTCTAAACTCTTACTTAAAAGGACCCGGTCAACAACTTAAAAAACTGCAAGTGAAAGCACAGAAAAAGCAAGTATTCTTAAATGCTTACTTGCAGGATTTGTTCCTGTCCATAAACAATTTTTATAGACTTGTCTCTGAACGTGCTAGAAAATGAGACTACTAAAAAGTAAATTCCCTTACACAGTCCCCTTCCTCCTTGCATGTCATAGTGCTTTTCTTTTGGAGAATGTCTAATTATTGTCTGTGCTAGCCAAGCTCTTCTTCCCCTCCTATCACCTACTTACATAGCCTGTAATGTAGGAGCCAGAGAGGAGCAAAGGGGAATACCAAACAGTGTCAGTTAAGTGACAGCTCTGAGTCTGCTGCGGTAGCCAACATCACATCCAAGATGGCGGCATCCAGCAGCAGCAGTCTCAGGCTATTTCAATGTCTGCATAAGGGCGGCTTTTATGTGTAATATAAGGTCATTTCAGTCTAGATTCCCAGATCAAATACAGTGGTATCCACACGTGTCTTTTTTTTTTTATGATAACTCAATGATAACTACAGTGCAAAATGGCAAACATGTTTTAGGGACCCAGGGAGAGAGTTCTCCCCTAGCCTTCCATAATGGGCCTTGTTCATGCAGAACAGCAGAATTACACTGATACATTGGACTCGTCATATATTTTTGTTTTAATTAAACTGACAGCAGTGAAGCTTGCCACAGCCAGAAAAGGGAATGCCAGGTCCCCCTGGCGGAGTCACAGACACTCATTAACAAACCAGTAGGAAATTAAAAATTTACAATACATAGTCAAAACCCATTTATTAGGTATCTGTGAAGCTGACCATTAAAGGATATGTAAACCCAACATTCCAACATTTCAAATTCCAGTTATGTGCCTGCTTTACAATGTACTTGTATGAAAAAGCATCTTGTTGCCTTTGTATTGCTTCCTTTGTGTGAATTCCTTGGTGTTCCTGCCCTTCCCTCTGCTTTCCTATTAAAAACTGACCACACTAGGCAAGAGAGCACAACATGGTCAGTTCTCTAACTGTGCTGAGAACTCAGCCTGCTCTCCTTCAATTTTTCATACTTGTCCTAATAACACTGGGAACTTTAGTGTCCTACTGTTTCTCCTTCCTCACCTCTCTATGCAGCTGAGAACAGAGGGAATGTGATCACTTACACAAAAGGGGAAAAAAGAGTATTTATAATGTTTTTTTTTTTATATGTATACATAAATGTTTTAGCTCTCATTTCTACTTTAAACTGCATAGGTTGTTTAACAAGGTGAGGGTTTACATATTCACTAGTGTTTTCATGTTAAAAGGATTCCATGAAATATACATTTTATTGAACTCGTTGTATAAAATAAAAATACATACATACATACATAAAAAATGTGAACACTTACCCTGAGTGTTCTGAAAGTAGTGCCTCCATAGTGGTCGGATCTTGTCTTGGCCACCCACATCCCAGACAGTAAAGCTGATGTTCTTGTATTCTACTGTCTCTACGTTGAACCCTATGAGGATGATGGAAAGATTGTATAAGCCTGAGTTTAGATTCATATTAGAAACATATCTCAAACTTAAATCAAAGAAAGCAGTGTAAGCTGGCTTTGTTGACTTTATCAGATCTGAAAAGGCTCATAGCCAAGTCAGAAAGCCCTTAAGCACTGTGTTCACGTTTAACTTCTAATATTCTAATATCCTAAGTCTAAAAAAGTATGGTCTGCCATCTTGGTGAGCCCTACATACACACTTTAAGGGAAGACCCAGTAATGAGCTCAGTGTATGGACACTTTAAGGACATAGATCAAGAATCATACTTTTGGTGAAAATAACAAGAGCAACTGAGGACAAAGCCTTTAATAGCTAAATGTAGGCAAAATTATAACAAGCCTTGAAAGCAACAGACCTTTTCTCACTGAAGTCTATTGAGATCAAAAACAATGAAGCTTAAAGCGTAAAAGAAGCTCATGTCCTTTTTTTTCCAGCTTCAATCAAAACTATGCTTTCGTTTGGAAAACCATGGAGCTTTGGATGTTGCGCATTTTGGAGCTTCAAGCTACAAAATGCTCAGGTGTGAATGGGGCTTTAGCCCCAATAGCATTTCACTTTAGATTGCCCAAAAATCTAACCCAAAAGCACATTTCAGCTCGTCAGGACAAGTCAATATTTCTTCGCTTGTGAAGTCACCGTCTAATGGTATGTCCCCTTAATATAAAATTCTTCTAAATTATAAACACTCTGGCACTGCCATTTTCCAGAGGATGATTTTTAAATAAACACAGAATTGCTTTTCACACACAATAATGACATAGAGTTGACATTTCTAGAACAGTTTGCAGCAATGGCATTTAGATGAATCTTTATATCAGTCCTGGTAAAGCTGTGTTTTTGAAAAACATGGGGACTAAAAAAAACACAAATAATAACAATATGAAACATTTTATAAAGAATATATTAACAGGTGCTCAAACCCTATCTTTTATCTAAATCCAAGAACAAAAATATAATATACTGCAGTTTACCAATCCTAAAATACAGTACTTGCTTTAGTTTTCCTTGTTTGCTCCTGGTATATTTCCAGTAACAAACTTCCTCTCCTAAGGTGACAGCTCTCACTGTATTGTAATGAGGGGCATCATTTTCACCCTCGGTTATATGTGTATTATGCCTACAGAACACTCGCCATCCTATGTTTGTTCTGTAACAGAAGGAAAGAGCTCTGTCGGCCTCACAAAAGCTGGGCAGGGCTGATAACACTGCATGAGATTTCAGTGCAGCACAGGAAAAGTGCATAGAAAGTTATGAGCTTAGTGGATTTCTGGCAGTATCAACATATATTTATACATGCATGCATTCATATACATAACACTTTAAATTGTTAGTACAACACTGACCTCTCTTTTTCTAAAGACATTACGTGGAAAGCATAAAGGAGAATCCTTGCTTTACTATTCAATAGGATAACAGGACATTTATATGAGGCATGTGCTTTGCTAAAATGATGAGTCTAACAGAGAAAGAACCAATAATTCTCAGAGACAATCAAGCTTCAGTGCTAATTCCAGAAGTCATTTGGTTTGGTTCCTGGTTTTTCGACTCTGCTACATAACACACTATAAAAAACATGGGGGTGTGAGCATCTTCAGACAGACATGGTTCTCTGTGTTGAATGTCCTCTTTTCAGACCATCTGATTAAAGCAACTTTTATTCCAGACAATATATACAGATGGTTACCACCAGCATTCTTTCTCCTTTCAGCTGGCATCCTAGTGACAAAAGATTGCGACTTTGTCTAGGGGTCTGTGGAAATTTGTGGACCTTAGTCTCATTTTAGGTGATTTCTGTGCAGGCCAATGTACTTTTTATTTCCATTAGATTCTAGCACTATCATATTGCCTTACATCTATACCAGTAAACAGTGTTATAAGAGCACCCTTTGGCACATCACTAAAACACAGAATGGTCTTTTGAGTTTTCTTTCATGTCATCATCATTTCCTGTAGATGTGTGGGACACTTTGGGGGCTGAAAGAGCAATATTACCTTTGCCCTACCTCCCCCCTGGTAACACCAGATCACTGTAAAATATGCAAATATTGCCCAATTTGTTGAACAAAAATTGCTAGGATGACCTGCAAAAGTAATATGCTACGTAGTTAGGGTAAAAACCAATGCTTCTACGAAAGGAAAAATATTACAGCAACAGGTATAAATGATTAGAAAATGACCCTGAAATTAGCTTTTGATAGGGAAATAACAGTGCACGACAGACTGACCTACATGCAGTGTGTATGAGAAGTGAACTATGGAAAGGAAAGGGGTGGTCATCACAGTCAGTAATAGAGTATTATGTTCAAATACCTATTGTGGGGATAGTAGTCACAATTTCCCCAAGTTTAAGTTTGTACAAGATGGTGGTCTTTCCGGCAGCATCAAGTCCCACCATGAGTATCCGCATTTCCTTCTTCCCAATTAGACTTTTCAACAGATTTCCAAAGATGTTTCCCATGGCTGCTTTCTTTAGATGTTTTTTATTTTAGGGTAGCAAATGGTTGACTTGTGCTCTTATCTCTACACGATATAAGAAAATACAACAGACAAAAGTTAAAAGTGAGATTTGGAGGTAAACATGCCAATATATTGTACATTCTTTTGAGAGGCTACTGTGGTAAGAGCTGCAGTATAGACAAGAGGTAAGTAATCCATAGCTATTCAGTTATTATGGATCTAAGGAGGCTGTCACACAATTATAAGTTCCCTACAAGTGGTGAGATACAAGTTGTCTTGCCTGATGCAGACTTGCATGCTTTATGTAAACCTGGCAAACAGAAATAAAATCACATCCCAGAAGCCTTAAGACAGAAGCAGCTATTCTCTTGACTCCTATGCTGTATACTAGTTCTAGGACAGTGAAGTTAGTGGAGCAGATTAGAACCTACGTCATTGTCCCGCAATTTCAATTCAGTAATGATTGCTTTGCAAAAGATTCCTTTTACTCTTTTATTACAGTGGTTGTAAACCTCAGACATGAATTATGAACAAAGCATATCCCTCTAGTGTACTTGTCTCAATTCAGAGCACTAAGTGTCATTTCTGTCTGCTGCCTTGTTCCTCTGCTATCAGCATGAATCAATTTTGACAGGTTTTCCTGACAACAAAAGAAAAATGGGAGGAACCTCCAGCAGAGGGACAGCCTTCAGCTCTCTTCCTGTGAGCTGTGTGGACGGGGTCTCTTCCCTCAAATCAGCTCTCGGAACTCTCCTGGCTGAGCTCTGCAGAGTGTAATGTCAGCTCTCTGCCCCCTTTTTTTTTTACAGCTTTATGAATTCAGCACTTTGAACAGATACAGAGAGAAGACTGCAGAATGTCAGATACAACTTATATAGGGGGATTTGTTTCATCTCTGTGTATCATCTGAACCCAGTCACTTCACTGGGTATATGTAAGGGTTTACAACCATTTTAAGTAATAAGATAAACAATAATGTGGGATTTACAATAACTCATACCAATCATCACCTCTCACCACTGCTCCTTCTAACTGGACACGAAGCCAGCGAGAAGGGGTGGGACTACACAATGGCCATACAGACTGTGGTTGAAGTTTCTTTAATTAAAAAAAAAAAAACAAAAAAAGAGCTCTTTGTGGGCTAAAATGCAAAAAAAAAGGTTAAAATACATGCAAGCACTTGAAAGTGCTCCCTATCCAAACCAGGAGCCAGCTCAACATCCTTACAGCACCCCACACATACACTTTAAGCTGGATATCATCGATTTTGCACTGATTTGTTTTAAAAAGTAAGCTTGACACACTTTATAAATATGTGAGATAAAGGATTGCTATGCGGTCAGTATTTCTAAAAGCAATACTTCTGTAACACTACCAAAGTTCTTTCTTATCTTTTCAAAGTAAGAATGACAGGTTTATAAATTAATTATGAACAATCAGGCTATGTAGAGGTTGACTACAGCGCAATAACAAGGTCTCCTGAGCATCAGAAGTTGTGGAAACTGCACATAGAGATGTTCTGACATCTGCTGGATCCTTTACAGGCTTTTACCACATTTGTGCTTCATACTGTAACATCATCTGATGACTGAGGCAGGTGACGGCACAGACAAGATTCCACAAGGCTGATTTTAGACAGAACTGCTCATCTATGGCCACCCTTAGACTTGGCAAACCAGGCAGATGTCTCACCAAAAAAACATATATATAACAGGCAGTGTAAACATCTGTTTGTCCTCAACTTCACTGCCACACTAGACCTCTTCATAGTCTACTCTCTTAATGGCCCTGTAAAAGTACAGTGAAATATTTGTTCCTCTCTTCTTCTCCAGGTTAAATCGCTGGGTGTGAAAAAGTGCTTCCAACAGTTGGAATTGGTCATTATTGGCTGCTGGGGTCCAATTCTCAAAAGTGATGTTTGAATCAAGCTGCATATGGCTACCTTTCATCTACAAAGAATTTAAAGTCCAGCTCAACTTCTCTGCCCACCTCACTGCAGTCCTTCCCTGAAGCCCACAACTGGTCCACTGACATTGTGGGTCCTTCCTTGTCCCCTTCAGCAGATGGGCAGTTCTTGCTCCAATTACTTATTGGACATTGCTATGTTCACGTACTGATGTGTATTTAATCAGTACTTGGAGCCCAGACCGGCATGATGACGCACCCCCAGGGGTCCTTGATTTGCTGGGTTAACAGAAAGTGAGTTAAATGATGGTGGGAGCCATACATCTCAGAAGTGAACTGGCACTGTTTGAGAAGTGGTGAGTCTTTGGGGAACAGCAAAACGCAAACGTTTTTCTGTTCAAAATGGGCAAAGTTAGGGAAATTACAATATTGGAAAACTCATGCACAATGGTATTCTGGCTCATACAACATAAGAAACTGCCATTTTTAGGTGCATGGGAGGTGCAGACTTTTAACAGCATAGAGTCTGCTGTCCAAAGCCTGTGCTTCCTTTGTGGCAAGTAAATGCCTGTTTTTTTACACCATACAAGCCAATCCACCTGTGGGTATGAGCCCATAATGGATAAGATGTGTAGAGGAGTGCAGGCAACAGGCACTATGGTTAAGGAGGGGGAGCGTGGATGATATGAGAGTGTGCAGGACAGAAGTGTGGAGGGTATGATGGTGAGCAGTATGTGCAGGAGAGAAGTGTGGAAGGTATGACTGTGTGAGTGCAAGTGAGTGCAAACATCAGGAATATGTGCAGAGAGGAAGGTATGACAGTATATGTGCAGGACAGGGGTGTGTAGAGTAGGACATCAGGCAATATGTGCAGGAGAGGAGTGTGGATGTATGACAGTGGGCTGTATGTGCAGGAGAGGGGTGTGTAGAGTAGGACATCAGGCAATATGTGCAGGACAGGAGTGTGGAGGGTATGACAGTGGGCTGTGTGTGCAGGAGAGGGGTGTGTAGAGTAGGACATCAGGCAATATGTGCAGGAGAGGAGTGTATGACAGTGGACTGTGTGTGCAGGAGAGGGGTGTGTAGAGTAGGACATCAGGCAATATGTGCAGGAGAGGAGTGTGGAGGTGTATGACAGTGGGCTGTGTGTGCAGGAGAGGGGTGTGTAGAGTAGGACATCAGGCAATATGTGCAGGAGAGGAGTGTGGAGGTAGACATGGCAATATGTGCAGGAGAGGGTGTGTATGTGAGCTGTGTGTGCAGGAGAGGGGTGTGTAGAGTAGGACATCAGGCAATATGTGCAGGAGAGGGGTGTGTAGAGTAGGACATCAGGCAATATGTGCAGGAGAGGAGTGTGGAGGGTATGACAGTGAGCTGTGTGTGCAGGAGAGGGTGTGTAGAGTAGGACAGGCAATATGTGCAGGAGAGGGTGTGTGTGTAGAGTAGGACAGGCATATGTGCAGGAGAGGGGTGTGTAGAGTAGGACATCAGGCAATATGTGCAGGAGAGGAATGCAGAGGGTATATCAGGCAAAATATGCAGGAGAGGAATGTGAAGGATATTATTGTGGGCAGTATGTGCAGAAGAGAGGTGTGGAGGGTATGACAGTGGGCTGTATGTGCAGGAGAGGAGTGTGTAAAGTATGATGCCAGGCAGTATGTGCAGGACTTGGGGGAGGGGTAGTATCAGGAGAGGAGTGCAGAGCATATGAGAGCAGGCAGGAGAAGAGTGTGGAGGGTATGGCATGGGGAAGCATGATCAGGAGAAGCATGCAGAAGAGTATGACAGCGGGAGGTATGTGCAGTAGAGTGAGTGAGTTTACGAATGTTATGACACAGGGCAGTATGCGCAGGGAAGAAGTGTGTCGAGTATGACACCGAGTATCATGTGCAGCAGAGCAGTGGGCAGAGTATGTCCACAAGTGGCACGTTCAGGACAAAGGTGAGGAGGGTATGACCATCCACAAAATGTGCAATAAGAGGAATTTGGAGAGTTTGACAGCAGGCAGTATGTGCAGGAGGAACTTGCACAGAGTACAAGAGCGGCCAGCATGTGCATAAGAGAGGAGAGGAGATCACTGGGTATGACAGCAAGAAGAATGTGGGAAAAAGGAGTGGAGTATGTGGTATGGGCTAGAAATGGGGACCAGTTATACAGCTGTGTACTTGCTTGAAGAGTACAGTGTAGGCAGGTTTGGGGACCATAGGCCTTTCTTCACCAGTTTCCTGTGTCCTTCTACCAGGCCATCTGCAGCCATTGCCACTTAGGAGTGAGGAGGAGAGGAAGGGAATGTGTGTGAGGGGGTGACGTGGCAGGGAGATGGGTATGTGTAGGGTAAAATGTCTGTGGGTCCCGGGAAGGAATGACTCTCAGCGAGTGTATAAGCTGAGGGGCAGAGAGTGTTGTGATGTGTGAGTGGAGGGGTGTGACTATTAGCCGTGGGTTAGGCAGAGAAGGATGTTTGTCAACCCAGGGATGGGGATGCACGGGGAAGGTTAAAATGTCAGACCGGGGAAGGGGGTGGGGGGGGATAATGGTCCATGGCAAAAAAGTTTTTATAAAGTCTGTCAGCCAGGGGGCAACAAAAAGGAGAGGATGTCTGCCAGACAGGCAATGTCCATGGGGCGGGATGTCTGCAGTGTTGCCAAACATCAGTATTTTTACTGGCAGCCAGTAAAAAACAGGCACTTTTTTCCTGCCAGTAAAAGGAAAAGGTTGTCAGTTAAAATTATGGCTGTGAAGCTCGACTCGAACTGCATAGTTCCGGTCTAGAGTTGGCTGAGACCATCTGAGTGTCTGCTACAGTGTATTCTGGTGGTGCTGCCAAGGGGCTGGTCTGGTGGAAGCAGTGCCTGAATGTGTCTTGTGATGTCATGGTGCAAGGGAGTGGAGTGGCTAGAGCCTCGAGTACGAGTCTGCGGGAAGGGGGCAAGGCAAGCCGAGAGCGAGACTGTTAGTGCTGTTTGGACTGAAGGGACCACCTGGCGAGGAGAGACTGTCACTATGACTTAGGAGCAGACGAATCATGTCAATAAGGTGTTATCAACATCTGTGCTGCTGTACACTGCTGTCAGTGTCACTGTGAGGGTCAATGCC